AACTTATTGTTTAATGTTTACTATGGATATTTTTCTTGAATGATGAATTGATGTTTACATGTATTTTGCCCATGGTATTGATACTAATTATAATCTTATTGTACATATTATATGCATTGTGTAAATCAGTGTTATAATTGATTTTTAATCTATTTTATTTATCTTTATCTCTGTTTCTTTTATTCTCTCTCTCTCTCCCATCTCTCTCTCTTTCATTGTTTCGCTCTCTCTCTCTTTCCTTCTGTTGACTCTGTGCTTAGCTCCTTCTGGCACCGAAGGGAGGACACTGGGAGGAGGAGTCCATACACACACACACGCACACACACCTCATATCTACGTATCTATGGCTGGATGGCCATCTGTTGGGAGTTCTTCGATTGTAGGCAGAAAAGGGGTCTGTGGATGACTTGTAGGGGTCCCTTCCAACTCTATTATATATCCATTAGGTGTGTGTGTGCATGGCCTCCTATATATCTGTCTTGTTTATGCCTGGATGGCCATCTTTTGGGAATGCTTTGATGGTGTGCAAAAAGCAGGATCCGTGTGGATGGCTTTTAGAGGCCGCTTTCCTCTTCTAGGATCCTATGATATATTCATCATGTATATGTGTATGTATGTGTGTATATATGTATGTGTGTATGTATATGTGTGTATATATAGAGATATATATAGATATATACATACACCTATTTTTATGTATGTATATGTGTGTATGTGTGTGTGTATGGAGGCCCTTTCCTGTTCTAGGATCCTATAATATATCCAGCATGTGTGTATGTATGTATGTATATATATATGTGTATGTATGTGTATCTGTTTGTTTATGTATATATATATATATATGTGTGTGTGTGTGTGTATGTATGTGTATTGATATATATGTTTGTATTTATATATGTGTATGTGTATATATATATTTATAGATATGCATATTTGTATATGTGTGTTTGTATGTGCATATGTGTGTACATATGTATATGTGTATATATGTATGTATATATATATGTATATATAAAACACACACACACACACACATATATATATATACATATATATGTGTGTGTATATATGTATATCTATATATATATAAATGCTCTGTGCATAATGAGTACCTTAAAAATAAAAGAACCAATGAACAAAATCACACCAAATTTGGCAACAAAACTTCTCACAACACAAGGAGTGACCATCACTCAAAAAATATGATTTTGTCATTTGGGAGTTGTAGTTGCTGGGATTTATAGTTCACCTATAATCAAAGAGCATTCTGAACTCCACCAACGATGGAATTGAACCAAACTTGGCACACAGGACTCCCTTGACCAACAGAAAACACCAGAAGGGTTTGGAGAGCAATGACCTTGGGTTTTGGAGTTGTAGTTCAGCTAGAGAGCACTGTGGGCTCAAACAATAATGGATCTGGACCAAACTTGGCACAAATACTCAATATACCCAAATATAAACACAGATGGAGTTTGGGGGGAAATAGACCTTGACATTTGGGAGTTGTAGTTACTGGGATTTATAGTTCACCTACAATAAAAGAGCCCCACCAACAACGGAATTGGGCCAAACATTCCACATAGAAAATACTGTTTTCTGGTGGTCTTTCTGACCCTTCTGACACCCCCCTGGTGACCCCCACCCCACCTGGGGTCTTGACTTCCCAGGTTGAGAAATGCTGCCTTAAGACCATAAACTCCAACTCCCTTCACCAAGGCAAGAAAACATAATCAGAGCCCTCCTGACAAAGGGCCACCCAGCCATTCACACACACAAATATATATATATATATATATTAATTAATGACAGATGCAGTATCAAAGATTTGAAAGGGACCCCTAAAGAAAGAAAATATGTTGCATGTTCCAGAGTAGGCAAACCAGACAATCTCCACATCAACACTGGCAAAGAAACAGCAAGAAATACTGTTTACCCACAAGCAGAAAGACATTACATATATCAGAAACCAACACTTTCTCATTATTTTATTTTCCAAATCACCAGACTGGGCCACAGCAACGCGTGGCAGGGGACCACTAGTATAGTTATAGATCTATAACTATAAAGAAAAAAAAAAAGAACAACTTTTGGCCAATTTCCAATCTCCCCTTCTTGGGCAAAGTCCTAGAACATGCGGTTGCCTCTCAGCTCCAGGGGTTCTTGGAAGACACTGATCTAGATCTGGCACAGTCTGGCTTTAGGTTGGGATATGGTACTGAGACAACCTTGGTCGCCTTAGTAGATGATCTATGCAGGGAACAGGACAGGGGGAGTGTGATCCTGTGGGTTCTCCTGGACCTCTCAGCGGTCTTCAATATTGTTGACCACGGTATCCTTCTGGGATGCCTCACTGATATGGGACTTAATAATAATAATAATAATAATAATAATAATAATAATCTTTATTTCTACCCCGCCACCATCTCCCCGATGGGGACTCGGAGCGGCTTACATGAGGCCAAGCCCGGACAACATAATACAGCAATAAAATCAAAGTATATACAACAGACAACAACAACATTATCAAAATGACATAAAAAATAAAATAAACATTCCAATAAACACAATCACGATAGACTTGGAGGTACTATTCTGCAGTGGCTCTTGTCCTTGCTTGGGGGTCATTCCCAGAAGGTGTTGCTGGGGGACACTTGCTCGACCTCACAACCATTGACTTGTGGAGTCAGTGTTTAACATTTACATGAAGTCGCTAGGAGAGATCATCAAGAGTTTTGGGGTCAGATGTCATCTATATGCAGATGATGTTCATCTCTATCACTTCTTCCTACCTGCTACCCCTCTATTCCGCTTTGGTTAGACCACACCTGGAATATTGTGTCCAATTCTGGGCACCACAATTCAAGAGAGATATTGACAAGCTGGAATGTGTCCAGAGGAGGGCGACTAAAATGATCAAGGGTCTGGAGAACAAGCCCTATGAGGAGCGGCTTAAGGAGCTGGGCATGTTAAGCTGAAGAAGAGAAGGCTGAGAGGAGATATGATAGCCATGTATAAATATGTGAGAGGAAGCCACAGGGAGGAGGGAGCAAGCTTGTTTTCTGCTTCCTTGGAGACTAGGACGCGGAACAATGGCTTCAAACTACAAGAGAGGAGATTCCATCTGAACACGAGGAAGAACTTCCTGACTGTGAGAGCCGTTCAGCATTGGAACTCTCTGCCCCGGAGTGTGGTGGAGGCTCCTTCTTTGGAAGCTTTTAAACAGAGGCTGGATGGCCATCTGTCAGGGGTGATTTGAATGCAATATTCCTGCTTCTTGGCAGGGGGTTGGACTGGATGGCCCATGAGGTCTCTTCCAACTCTTTGATTTTATGATTCTATGATTCTATGCTGCTAAGGAGGCTGTTCAAGCCCTGAACTGGTGCTTGGCCGCTGTGACGATCTGGATGAGGGTGAACAAATTGAAATTGAATCCAGACAAGACAGAGGTCCTCCTGGTCAGCTGCAAGACCAAACAGGGCATAGGGTTACAGCCTGTGCTGGATGGGGTCACACTCCCCTTGAAGACACAGGTTCACAGTTTGGGGGTTCTCCTGGACTCATTGCTGAGCCTGGGACTCCAGGACTTGGCGGTGGCTGGGAGAGCTTTTGCACAACTAAAACTTGTGTGTCCATACCTTGAGAAGTCTGACTTGGACACTGTGGTCCACACTCTTGTTACATCCCGAATAGACTACTGGAATGCACTTTACGTGGGGTTGCCTTTGAAGACTGCCTGAAAGCTCCAACTAGTCCAACTGTCGTCAGCCACGTTGCTCACTGTTGCGGCATACAGAGAGCATACAACCCTTCTGCTACGCCAGCTCCCCTGGCTGCCAATCTGCTACCGAGCACAATTCAAAGCGCTGGTCTTAACCTGTAAATCCCTGAACGGTTCCAGCCCAGATTACCTGTCTGAACGTATCTCCCATTACGAACATCACAAAATTTAAGATCAGCTGGCGAGGCCCTGCTCTTGAGCCCACCACCATTGCAAATGCAACTGGTGGGAACGAGAGACAGGGCCTTCTCAAGTGGTGGCTCCTCGCCTGTGGAACTCTCTCCCCAGTGACATCAGACTGCCCTCCTCCCTTCTGGCCTTCAGAAGGAAACTCAAAACCTGGTTATGAGGCCAAGCATTTGAACTATATAGGCAGCAATCCAGAAGAAGACTCAAGTGATATGAATGACAATGGACTGACCCGGACTTGGATGTTAAACCTGCGTGATTTTAAACAAATGCCGTATTAATGTAATGTTTTAATGAATTGTTTTAAACGTATTTTTATGAATGTGGATGGCACTGAACGAGTGCCTGTTGTGAAGCCACCCTGAGTCCCTCCTTGGGGGTGAGAAAGATGGGGTACAAATGTAATAAATAAATAAATATTATATATATATATATATATATATATATATATATATAGAGGAGCACCCGGTGGTGTAGTGGGTTAAACCCCTGTGCCGGCAGGACTGAAGACCGACAGGTCACAGGTTCGAATTCAGGGAGAGGCGGATGAGCTCCCTCTATCAACTCCAGCTCCTCATGCGGAGACATGGATGATAAAAACATCAAATCATCCAGGTGTCCCCTGGGCAACGTCCTTGCAGACGGCCAATTCTCTCACACCAGAAGCGACTTGCAGTTTCTCAAGTCGCTCCTGACACGACAAAATAAATAAATAAATGTGTGTATATGTGTGTATATGTGTGTGGGTGGGTGTGGTATATATTGTTGGCAGAAGGGGGTCCATTTGGATGGCCTTTAGGGGCCCCATTCCTGCTCTAAGCTTCTCCAGTTCTATGCTTTCAATAGGTCTAGTCTAGTCTATATTGATATGATATATAATAGCAACATAATATAATAATAATATAATACAACAATAATATAATATAACAACAACATAGTAATAATATAATATAATATTACTATAATAATAATAGACTATAAATAAATGGAATAAAATAATATAAATAATAATTGTTGTTGCTATTTGCAGGGGGAGAAGAGCCATGGCTTTGAGGTGCTGTACCAGAACATGAAGCAGGGCCAGGTCTCGGCCAAGGAGCTGGCCGACTTTGTCCGGGAGAGGTGAGTGGGTAGATGGGAGGTCCCTATTCCCCCCCCCCCCCGCTCTCTCCCTGGATGCTTGGCCCTCTGTCGGGAGGGCTTCGCTGGGGGCCTTTGAGACCAGCATCTGTCCTTCCTTCCTTCCTTGCAGGGCAGCGGTGGAAGAAGCCTACGCCAAGTCCATGGCCAAGATGTCCAAGCTGGCCGGCAGCAGTACCCAGTTGGGGTGAGACAGAGAGAAAGGGAGGGAGGGAGATGCAAGATTGCTTATCATATTATCATAGTATTATTATTACCAGCTATTAGGGACTGTGGGAGCCCAGCACACCTGGAGGGAGGGGGGGACAAAGTGTGGGCAGGCCAGACCTGGGTGCCCTTAAGGCTGGCCTTGCCTTGTCTTCCCGGGCAGGACGTTCGCCCCGCTGTGGGAAGTATTCCGCATCTCGTCGGATAAACTGGCGCTCTGCCACCTGGAGTTGGCCCGGAGGTTGCAGGACCTGCTGCGCGAAGTGGGGCGCTACACAGAGGAGCAGAGCAGGACCCACAAGAAGGTTCTTCTGAGGGAGGGAGGGTGGGAGGGGGCGAGGGAGAGAAGGAAGGAGGAAAGGAAGGAGAAAAAGAAGGAAGGAAGGGAAGAGGGAAGGAGGGAAGGGAGGGAGGGATAAGGAAAGAAAAGAGAAGGAAAGAGGAAATTAAAAGAGGAAGGAAGAAAGAAGGAAAGGAATGAGGAAAAGAAGGAAGGAAGCATGAAAGGAAAGCAATGAGGGAGGAAAGGATGGAAGGAGAAAAGGAAGAATGGAAGGAAGGACAGAAGAAAGGAAAGGAAGTGCTATGGAGAGAAGCAAATCAGGACGCACAAGATCTGTCCAAAGGAGAGAGGAGGAAAGAAAGGAGGAAAAGAAAGATGGAAGGAGGAAAGGAAAGAGAGGAAGGAAATGAGGGGAAGGGAGGGAGGAAAGAGGGGAAGGAGGAAAGGAAGGATGGAAGGAAGGAAAGATTAAAGGAAAGGGAAGGAAGTGAGGGCAGGCGGTTAAGAGAGGAGCAGCTGAGGATGCAGAAGGAGGTCTACGGGAGGCTATGGGGCAGGAAGGAAGGAGAAGAGAGAGGGAGGAAGGATGGAAGGAAGGAAACACAAAAGATGCAAAAGAAGGAAGGAAGGAGGAAAGAAAGAAAGAAAGAAAGAAAGAAAGAAAGAAAGAAAGAAAGAAAGAAAGAAAAAGGGAGGGAAGAAGGAAGGAAGGAGGAAAGGAAGGGATGCAGGAAGGATGGAAGAAAGGGATGAAGAAAGGAACGAATGGAAAAGAGGGAAGGGAGGAGGGAGGGAAGGAAGGAAAGATGGAAAGGACCTTGGGCGCTAGGAAGACGAGCAGCTACGGACCCACAAGAAGGTCTGTGGGGGTCTATGTTTATTTGTGTGTTTGCCCACTTGCAGTCTAAGGAAGAGGTGTCGGGGACGCTGGAGGCGGTGCAGGCGCTGCAGGGTGCGACACAGCTGCTGCCCAAGGCCAGGGAGGCCTTCCAGAGCCGTGGGATGGAGCTGGATCGCCTGCGCAGGGAGGGTGCCGGGCCCAAGGAGGTTGAGAAGGTGCCTCCTGCATGCCCGTCCTTTCAGGGGAGGCTGGGGGGCACCCTGCTGCAGGGACTTTTCCTATTAGTATTACTATTCTTGTTGCTGCTCCTCTCAGGCGGAGCTGAAGTCCCGGAAGGCGGCAGAGGCGCTGCGTCGTGCGGCGGAGAAGTACAACTTTGCGCGGAGCGACTTTGAGCGCAAGATGCGGGACTCAGCCGCGGTAAAGATGCGGGACAGGGGGGTGGTGATGGATGGGGCTGGGACAGAAGGAAGCAAGGAAGGAAGAGCTGGAGAAGGACTACAGCTTCCAGCATCCCCTCTGCTTGCTTCCTTGCAGCGCTTCCAGGAAGTGGAGGAGTCCCACCTGCAGCAGATGAAAGCCCTGATTGGCTCCTTCATCCACTCGGTGGAAGACGCCCACGTCCAGATTGGGCAGGTAAGAGGATCTACCTTCGTATGGAAGTACAATAACATTATATTATCAATGAAATTAATAACATTAAAATATTGTATTGTCGAAGGCTTTCATGGCTGGAATCACTAGGTTCTTGTGGGTTTTTTCGGGCTATAGGGCCATGTTCTAGAGGCATTTCTCCTGACGTTTCGCCTGCATCTATGGCAAGCATCCTCAGAGGTAGTGAGGTCTGTTGGAATTAGGACAATGAGTTTATATATCTGTGGAATGGCTGGGGTGGGGCACAGAGCTTTTCTCTGCTGGGGCTAGGTGTGAATGTTTCAACTGACCACCTTCATTAGCATTTGAAGGCCTGGCTGAGCCTGGGAAAATCTTTTGTTGAGAGGTGTTAAGATGTGCCTGGTTGTTTCCTCTCTGTTTTGCTGTTGTAATTTTAGAGTTTTTTAATACTGGTAGCCAGATTTTGTTCATTTTCATGGTCTCTTCCTTTCTGTTGAAATTGTCCACATGCTTGTGGATTTCAATGGCTTCTCTGTGTAGTCTGACATGGTGGTTGTTGGTGTGGTCCAGCATTTCTGTGTTCTCAAATAAATGCTGTGTCCAGGCTGGTTCATCAGGTGCTCTGCTATGGCTGACTTCTCTGGTTGAAGTAGTCTGCAGTGCCTTTCATGTTCCTTGATTCGTGTTTGGGCAATGCTGCATTTGGTGGTCCCTATGTAGACTTGTCCACAGCTGCATGGTATAAGGTAGACTCCTGCAGAGGTGACAGGATCCCTCTCCCTTTGCTGAATGTAGCATTTCTTGGATTTTTAGTGGGTTTGTAGATAGTTTGTATGTTGTGTTTCCTCATCAGCTTCCCTATGTGGTCAGTGGTTCCCTTGATGTATGGCAGGAACACTTTTCCTCTGGGTGGATCTTCATCTTTACTTTCGTGGCTTGTTCTTGGTCTTGCAGCTCTTCTGATGTCTGAGGTGGAGTCTCCATTGGCCTGTAGAGCCCAGTTGAGGTGGTTCAGTTCATCTTGGAGGAGGTGGGCTTCGCAGATTCTTTTTGCACGGTCTGCCAAGGCTTTAATGGTGCTTCTTTTTTGACTTGGGTGATGGTTGGAGTTTTGATGTAGATATCTATCTGTGTGTGTGGGTTTTCTGTAGACGGTGTGACCCAATTGTTGATCTGGTTTGCGGATGACTAGGACATCTAGAAAAGGCAGTCTTCCTTCATTTTCTTTTTCCATGGTGAATTGGATTTTTGGGTGGATGCTGTTAAGATGGTCCAGGAACCTGTTGAGTTCTTCTTCTCCGTGGCTCCAAATGGTGAAGGTGTCATTAAAATATTATTCAAAAACCCTATTAATAGGAGCATTTGGAAGATATTAACATGAAATATGTTGAAATTGTATGTATATTCCTGTAGGTCCATGAAGAGTTCAAGCAAAACATGGAGAACATCGGGGTGGAGACTTTGCTCAGGAACTTTGCTGAAAGCAAAGGCACCGGGCGACACCCACCAGGTTGGAAGTGCCTCTGGCTTGGCAATAGAATTGCACGCAAGGGGAGCAGGTCAGGTCTTCTATTATAGATCATACCATTCATAGTACTAATCTTTGTGCCTTCCTTCTTCCCTCCCTCCCTTCAGGGCCCTTGGACTTTGAGGAGCTCAGCTTGGCACCTTTGCAGGAAGGCAAGTACCAGCACCAGGGGGCAGGGGAAGGGGCTTTGGAGTTGCAGCAGTTACAGCGACAACAACAACAACAATAATAATAATAATAATACTATTAATAATAATAATAACAACAATAATAAAAAATATTAATAATACTACCAATACTAATGACATTTTAATAAAATACTAAAGCTACTAATAATACAATACTACTACTAATGTTATTATTAGTAGCTTTAGTATTTTATTAAAATGTCATTAATATTGGTAGTATTATTAATATTTTTATTATTGTTGTTATTATTATTATTAATAGTATTATTGTTGTTGTTGTTGTTGTTGTTATAATAATACAATACTACTACTAATGTTATGGGGCCCCCGGTGGCGCAGTGGGTTAAAGCACCGAGCTGCTGAGCTTGTTGATCGAAAGGTCGCAGGTTCGATTCCGGGGAGCGGCGTGAGCTTCCACTGTCAGCCCTAGCTTCTGCCAACCTAGCAGTTCGAAAACATGCAATTGTGAGTAGATCAATAGGTACCGCTCCGGCGGGAAGGTAACGGCGCTCCATGCAGTCATGCCGGCCACATGACCTTGGAGGTGTCTATGGACAACGCTGGCTCTTCGGCTTAGAAATGGAGATGAGCACCACACCCCAGAGTCAGACATGACTGGACTTAATGTCAGGGGACTACCTTTACCTTTTACCTACTAATGTTATAATAGCAATACTACTACTACTACTACTACTACTACTACTAATAAAATACTAATACTACTAATAATATAATATTCCCAATACTACTACTACTAATCATAATAATAGTAATAATATACTACCAGTAATACTAATAATAATGTTATAATAATAATAACCATATCCTTTGGCTTCTTTATTAGGATTAGGATTATATATGATTATATATTATTATTCTATAGCAGGTCCGAAGCGAACCCGCAGCAAGGCCTTCCGCATCCCTGGTTTGGGCCGAAAGGAGCGTGAAAGGGACTCTGTGTGAGCAGAAAAATCCCCTTTATTTCTACCCTATTATTATTATTATTATGGAGCCCCTGGTGGTGCAGCGGGTTAAACTATTGAGCTGTTGAACTTGCTGGTTGGCGGTTTGAATCCGGGAAGGGGGGTGAGCGCCTGCTGTTGGCCCCAGCTCCTGCCAACCTAGCAGTTCGAAAACATGCAAAAGTGAGTAGATCAATAGGTACCATTCCAGCTGGAAGGTAACGGTGCAACATGCAGCCATGCCAGTGGCCACATGACCTTAGAGGCACCTATGGACTCTTCGGCTTAGAAATGGAGGTGAGCACCAGAGTCGGGCACGACTGGACTTAATGTCAAGGGGAAACTCCTATGTTTGCTATTATTATGATGATGATTATTTTGCTTTGTTTTCTTAAACAAGGCTCTTTCCTTCCTTCCTTTCTTCCTTCGTCTAGGGAGTCTCCGGACGCTGAGTCAACAGTCAGTAAAAATCCTTTTTACTGTATTATTTGTGCTATATTATTATTTTGTTATTATACTGTATCTACTTATTATATTTATTATATATTATATTATTTTATTAGAATATCCACTTATTATTATATTTATTATATATTATTATATATTTTATAATATGTTGCATCAGCTCCACTGGCTGTCTGTTTGCTACTGGGCACAATTCAAAGTATTGACTGGCCTATAAAGCCCTAAATGGCCCTGGCCCAGTTTACCTGTCCAAACACGTCTCCCTTTTTGGGGCAGTGCAATAAGGCAACAATAGGAAACGTTACCCTGCTGACTGAATACGATATGGATGATTTGAGATGGTTTTACACAGTGATTTTAGTGTTCATGTATATTTATAGTTTATTCTTCCGCCGGCATGGAATGCTTGCCGTATACACGTTGTGCTCCACCCTAAATCCCAGACGTGGCCAACCAAGAAGGGTGGAATATAAATGCTTTTAATAAAATAAATAAATACATATTTTATTATCATATGAACTTATTACCTTTATCATCTCATATCATATTATACAATTTTTAATTATCCTGTCCTGAATGCTCAGCCTCCCGAAGTTGATGAGGAAGGCTTCACCGTCCGGCCAGAAACGGACCGGAATGATATCCTTGGGCATCGGATGGAAAACAGGGTTGGACTAGATGGCCTTTGTGGTTCCCTTCCAACCCTGTGATTCTGGGCTTGTGCCTTGCATTATTGGTACAATGGGAGCCAGTCTAGAGTCATCCCCCCCCCCTTTTAGGATGCTTGGGGTGGACTAGATGGCCTTTTGGGGGTCTTTCCCAACTTTTTGTTTTATGTTTCCATATGATTCTATTATTGGGAATGGGGTTCTGTCTAAATGGCCTTTGGGGGACTCCTCCTATATGATTAAGGCTTATGTCTTGCTTTCTGGCATAATGGTAGCCAGTCTAGATGCCCTTTGGAGGCCCCTTTCCAATCCTGTGATTCTCGGGTGCCTTGCTTTCTGGCAGAAAGGGAATCGGTCTAGATGGCCACCCAACTTTATTTTTATGTTTGCATATGATTCCATGATTGGCATGGAGGATCAGTCTAGAAGTCCTTTGGGGCCCCTCCCCTCCCCCCTCTGTGCCTTGACCGCGTTGCCCTTGACCGTTGACCGCAGGCCCAGCCCCCTGCGGCCTGTGCTGCTCATCCAGCGACTCGGACTTTGAGGGGGAGGAAGAGGGAGAGGGGCCCCACAAGTTCTACATCCGGATCAAGCCCCTCCAGACCAAGGAGCAGCAGCCACAGCAGCTACAACAACCACAGCAGCAGCCCCCGTGGTCAAGCAACAGCACAGCCGCAGCTGCTGCCCAGGCCTCCATGGAGCAGCTCAAAGCCTCGGTGGGGAGCCTCATCCTGGGGCCCGGCATCGGCATCGGGGTGAGAGGATTCTCTGATGTACTTGTCAGGGTGCCTTTCTTTATGGCCAAAAAGGGGGTGTTCTGGATGGCCTTTGGGGCTCCCTTTCCTGGGCATTTACATATCCCTTTTGTGCCCCTTTTGCAGAACACCGTGAAGAGGCATTCCTCCCGTGAGTCCTCTCTCTCTCTTCAATGCCCCCTTTATCTCATGTTCATTTTTTGTCATGTTTATATGACTTGCTGCATCCATTTCCCGGCAGGGCATTTGAAATCCCTGGCTGCAGCTGCGGCTGTGGCGGATTCTTCAGCTGACTCGAATGTCGCTCCGATCGGCCCAAGGAAGAAGATGACCCCTTGTTTGACCAATAGGTGACCCCGAATAATCCTATGGGAAGTGACTCCCCTCTCCAGGTGGAATCCCATGAATTGCCCCCCAAAAATGCCCTGGTTTCCTTCCTTTGCAGTTGCAACACCAATGCGGACCCCGAGCCCCTTTCCGCCAATGCGCTCTTTGGGCCTCCCTTGGAATCTGCCTTTGAAAATGAGGACTTTGCAGGTAAATCCATCAACGGGTAGAATAAATGGGTTTTTTGGGTGGGCTCACCCCTGGGATTGTCATGCAATCCAATAGACTAATTGAATGTCAATATTAGGCTTGGGCGGTTTCGTTCGTTAATTTCGTAATTCGTTATTAATTCGTATTTAAATTAGCTTACGATCCAATATTGAGCCATGCAGGACTACTGTGAGGAGTAATTAAAAATCGAAACAATTTTTCCAATTTATTTCGTATTGTTTCGTAATTGTTTCGTAATTGATTCAAAATTGTTTCGAAATTGTTTCGTAATTGTTTCGTAATTATTTCCGTATGTCTGGTGCTAGTTTTATAGTTGTTGTTTGTTTTATCAGTGATAAAAAATTATAAATATCACACCAACAGTCAACAACAGAGGGAGAGGGAAGCTTCAGAAGTTCCCCCTGTCCCATTTGGAGGGTTTTTTAGCATATTGCACAATCGCGTCCACCATTAACGAATCGATTCGTAATTTTACGAAATTTCGTATATTTTGAACTTTTTTAAAGGAAAATTTCGGAATTCTTTAAAAAAACGAAACGCAAGGGCCCCCCCAAAAACGAAACGAGTTTAGAACCAAATTTTTCCGTGGTTACCCAAGCCTAGTAAATATATTATACTAGCTGTCCCCTGCCACACGTTGCTGTGGCCCAGTCTTTTGATCTGGAAATTGGCCTTGGATGGCCTTAAGTATTTTCTGTTGGTCATGGCGGTTCTATGTGGGAAGTTTGCCCCGATTCTGTTGTTCATGGGGTTCAGAATGCAGTTGATTGTAGGTGAACTGTGAATCCCAGTGACTACAACTCCCAAATGTCAAGTTCTATTATCCTCAAATTCCACCAGTGTTCACATTTGGGCATGTTGAGTATTCGTGCCAAGTTTGGTCCAGATCCATCATTGTTTGAGTCTACAGTGCTCTCTGGATGTAGGTGAACTACAACTCCAAAACTCTAGGTCAATGCCCACCAAACCCTTCTAGTGTTTTCTGTTGGTCCTGTGTGCCAGGTTTGGTTCAATTCTACTGCTGGTGGAGTTCAGAATGCTCTCTGATTATAGGTGAACTATAAACCCCAACAACTACAACTCCCAAATGACAAAATCATATTTTTTTGAGTGATGGTCACTCCTTGTGTTGTGAGACGTTTTGTTGCCAAATTTGGTGTAATTTCGTTCATTGGTTGTTTTGTTTTTAAGGTACTCATTATGCACAGAGCATTTTTATATATATAGATTATATTATATAAATTATATTTATTATTATATTAAAATTATATTAATTATATGATTATATGATTGACTGTTTTTAATTATCACATTGTATTCTATTAATTATTCAATTACTTAAATTTAATAATTTTATTATATTAATTAAATTTAGTTAATATACTATAACTATTATATTAATTACATTAATTATATTGAATGAATTTAATTTATTGTTATATTATATTGTATTATTATAATTAATTTAGTTTAATGTGTCATCATACTATAGTAATTAAATTTCTTAGTAATTATTATATCAATTATTTTTAATTATTATATTCCAAAGAATTTTAACTATTAATTACATTATATTAATGTATTAAATTGTACATATTATTTTAATTATTCTATTATATTAATTATATTAATTATTCTATTATATTAATTATAATTGTACATTAAATCAATTTTATGTGAGTGTATATGGATGGCAACTAACTGGACCCTCCCCTTTCTTACCCCTCAGGCTCTGCCTCCCGGCTGCTGCCCTCGAGCCCCTCCCCCTTCTCCTCCCCCTCCCCCGAGAACATAGGGGACTCTGGCCTGGACTCACCCCCACCTCCCTCCATGGCAGCCTCCGACCCTGCCCATGTGGGGGGGAGGAGATGGCGGGTCCCCGACCCCTGGGTGCCTCAGGCCCCACCCACCAGGCCCTCTGTGTGGGGCCCTCCACCCCCTGGGGGCTCCCCAGACCCCCTCCCCCCAGCAGAGGGCCTGCACCAGAGGGTGCCCTCTGGGGGTGGGGGTGGGGAGGGGGACAGCTGCCTCTCCTCCAACTCTGCCTCCTCCTCCTCCTCCTCCCCTGCTCCCCCCAGCATCAGCAGTGGGGACTCCGCCTCCAGCCCCTCCCCTTGGGGGGGCTCCCACGGAAGGGAACTCCCCGAGGACACGCCCCTGCGTACCGACCCCATCGGTGAGTGAAGGAGGGCTGGGGGGCACCCAGGTGGGGGTTGTCATTATTATTCACAATAGATAGACATGATAGGCCCCTATTGGTGAGGGAGTCACTCGAGGTCACCGTGAACACAAGTCTGGAGGGTTACCTGAGGTCATGATGCACCCATGTTGGGTCTATTAGTATTATTATTATATAAAGACATGATAGACCCATGTTGGGATGATGATGATCATGATGATGATTATGATATTATATAGACAGAAACATGATAGACTCATGTTGAGGAGGGGTCACCCAAGGTCACAGTGAACACAAGTCCGAGAGGGTCACCTGAGGTCATGATACATCCATGCTGGGTCTATTATTATTATTATTATTATTATTATTATTATTTATCAGAAAGCCCTATGTGCCAATGTGATTCTATAATATTATTGTTGTTATTATTAGAAAACCCTTTGTGCCAATGTCATTTATTATTATTATTATTATTATTATTATTATTATTTGTCATTATTGGTTTGTCTGGTCTGTTAGGCCATGTTCCAGAAGCATTCTCATCTATGGCAAGCATCCTCAGAGGTTGTGAGGTCTGTTGTAAACTAAGCAAGTGGGGTTTATATATCTGTGGAATGATGTCCAGGGTGGGGGAAAGAACTCTTGAGGTTCTTGTGGGTTTTTTCGGCCTATAGGGCCATGTTCTAGAGGCATTTCTCCTGACGTTTCACCTGCATCTATGGCAAGCATCCTCATCCTCACTACCTCTGAGGATGCTTGCCATAGATGCAGGCGAAACGTCAGGAGAAATGACTCTAGAACATGGCCCTATAGCCCGAAAAAACCCACAAGAACCTAGTGATTCCAGCCATGAAAGCCTTCGACAATACAACTCTTGAGGTGTTAGTTGGCCCTGATTGTTTCCTGTCTAGAATTCCACTGTTTTCTGAGTGTTGGTCTTTATTTACTGTTCAGATTTTAGAGTTTTTAAAATTCTGGTAGCCCTGGAAACAGCAAAAAAAAGCCCACCATATGCTTCAGATATGTGGGTGACACCTTCACCATTTGGCGCCATGGAACTCAACACATTCCTGGACCACCTCAACAGCATCCACCCAAACATCCCATTCACCACAGAAAAAGAAAATGAAGGAAAACTGCCAATTTTTAGATGTCCTAGTTATCCACAAACCCAACCAACAATTGGGTCACGCAGTTTGCAGAAAACCTACAGACACAGATACATAAAAACTCTAGCCTTACTTACTTACTTACTTAGGCGATCCCTCGTTGGACGAGTAAGATGGTCTTCCATCATGGGTTTCCCTGTGGGTCCGTATGTGGCTGTGGAGCCCTATTCTTGCTCTGCATCTTCTTCCGCAGTGAGGGCATTGGTTTCCAGGTGGAAGGCGGTCCCGGTCGGGGTTGGCTTGACACGCCTTCCTCCTGGCACGTTTCTCTCTTTCACCCTCCACTCGTGCCTCTCTCGAATTCTGCAGCACTGCTGGTCACAGCTGACCTCCAGCTGGAGCGCTCAAGGGCCAGGGCTTCCCAGTTCTCAGTGTCTATGCCAGAGTTTTTAAGGTTGGCTTTGAGCCCATCTTTAAATCTCTTTTCCTGTCCACCAACATTCCGTTTTCTGTTCTTAAGTTCAGAGTAGAGCAACTGCTTTGGGAGACGGTGGTCAGGCACCCAGACAACGTGGCCGGCCCAGCGGAGTTTATGTTGGAGGACCATCGCTTCAATGCTGGTGGTCTTTGCTTCTTCCAGCACGCTGACGTTTGTCCGCTTGTCTTCCCAAGAGATTTGCAGGATTTTCCGGAGGCAGCGCTGATGGAATCATTCCAGGAGTTGCATGTGACGTCTGTAGACAGTCCACGTTTCACAGGCATATAGCAGGGTTGGGAGGACAATAGCTTTATAGACAAGCACCTTGGTATCCCTACGGATGTCCCGGTCCTCAAACACTCTCTGCTTCATTCGGGAAAATGCTGCACTTGCAGAGCTCAGGCGGTGTTGTATTTCGACGTCGATGTTGACTTTGGTGGAGAGGTGGCTGACAAGGTAGCGGAAATGGTCAACATTTTCTAATGTTACACCATTAAGCTGTATCTCTGGCATTGGAGAGGGGATGGTTGGTGACTGCTGGAACTCTAACCATCACCCATGTCAAAAAAGAAGCCCAATCAAAGCCCTGGAAGACCGTGCAAAAAGCATCTGTGAAGCCCACCTCCTTCAAGGCAAACGGAACCCCCTAAACTGGGCTCTCCAGGCCAATGGAGGTTCCGCCACAGGCATCAGAAAAACTGCAAGGTCAAGAACAAGCCATGAGAATAAAGACAAAGATCCTTACAAAGGATCTTACTGTACATCAAGGGAGCCACTGACTGCAGAGGGAAGCTGAGGGAGAAACACGACCTCCAAACAATCTACAGATCCACCAAAAACATTCAACAAATGCTACATTTAGCAAAGGACAAGAGGGATCCTCTCCCCTCTACAGGAGTCTTACCGAATACCATGCAGCTGTGGACGAGAAGGGACCACCAAACACAGACACAAATCAAGGAACATGAAAGGCACTGCAGACTAATCCAACCAGAGAAGTCAGCCAGTAAATAAATACTAACACTCAAAAATGGGGATTCCAGACAGGAAACAATCGTGGCCAGCTAACAATTCCCAACAAAGGATTCCCCCAGACAGTAAGAAGCCAGACCTGGAAACTACTAGGCCATTCAGTGCTAATCAAGGTGTCCAATTGAAACATTCACACCTACCTCAAGTGTACAATAGTTCTTTCTCCCACCCTGGACATGATTCCACACTATCCTAGTTTCCAACAGACCCCTCAACCTCTGAGGATGCCTGCCATAGATGCGGGTGAAATGTCAAGAGAGAAAGCTTCTGGAACATGGCCAGTCAGCCCAGAAAACTCACAACAAACCAGCCTTGAAAGGCTTCGACAACACATTATTATTATTATTATTATTATTATTATTATTATTATTATTATTCTGACACAAAAGCACAGTATGTCACAGCAAATGAGATCTATATGCTGGATTTCGTATAAAAAAATCACAAGTTGAACACTTCCCAAGCGTCTAGGATTGTGTGATGTATTTTCAAATGATGCACGCAGATCCAAGTAAGGTGGCCTTTTGCAGTTGATAGATTGTGATTTGTCAGTGTTTATTGTTTCCAAATGCCAGCTGAGATCTTTGGCATGGCACCCAGTGCGCCAATGACCACTGAGACCACCTGTACTGGTTTATGCCAGAGCCTTTGCAGTTCGATTTTGAGGTCTTGGTATTATTATCATTATTATTATTATCTGCCTCGCCAGGGTCGCCCGCTGTGGGCTCCATGGTGCCCCCCCCACGGCGCCCCCATTCCAAGCGCCCCTCGGCCATTCCGGCTGCTTGCCTGGCCAGCGAGACGGTGAGCAACGACCAGCTTGGGAGGGGAGGGGAGCATAGGATGGGGTCAGTCACCCCCTGATCTTTGACCTCCCCCCTTCCATTTTCTTCTTGCAGCCCCGGTCCCTGAGCCCTTCCCGGCTCTGGAGTCTGTCAGCCCCCTCAAGTGCCGCCGAACGGGCTTTCTTTGTAGCCACTCAGCCCGGGATCGGTAAGTCAGGTCGGGTGAAGTGTCCTCTCCTTCCTTTCCTCCTTCCTTCCTTCCTTCCTTCCTTCCTTCCTTCCTTCCTTCCTTCCTTCCTTCTTTCTTCCTTCTGCTTCATTCTTTAATTCTTTCTTTCTTTCCAGGAGTGTCGAGGGGTCCCTCCCCAGTGGTTCCAGGCTCCCAGGGGGGGCTCCCAGTAGCCACCGCCTTCACGGAATACGTCCACGCTTTCTTCAAGGGCCACAGCCCCGACAGGTCAGAAGAAGCACAATAATAATAATAACAACAGTAGTGATCATAATTAAAATAGTTAAGAATGGCACTAATAATCCCCCTCCCTGCAGCTGCCTGGTCAAGGTCACAGGGGAGATGACCATGTCCTTCCCGGCGGGGATCCTGCGCGCCTTCAATGGCTGCCCTTCAGCCCCAGTCCTGAGCTTCCGCCTTCTTTGGACGACAGCCATTGACCACTTCCTGCCCAGCCCTGACCTCCTCTTCAGGTAAAGAAGCATTCGTTGATAGAGAGTGTCTTCGGCCGCAGCGACCTTGCAATGAGCTCACCCCACTCTCCTTTCTCCATTCGGCCAGCGACCCCTCCCAGAGTGACCCCTCCAGCCGGGACTTCTGGCTCAATATGGCCGCCTTGACCACCCAGCTCCAACGGCAGGCTGACCACTCCCCGGGGGCCCCTTACTACAACATCACGCTGCTCAGATACCAGGTACGCTAGCAGTCATCCCTCCATTACTGACTCTTCCTTCACTCTCATGGGCGGATACGTTAGCAGTCCTCCCTCCTCAGCTGACACTTGCTGGAACACCCCAGCAAGCAAGAGTCCAAAAGTGGCAGGCTCAAACCCAGAACCTCAATCAATGGCTGATACCAAATGAGAGACTCCCCCCTGGGCACACAGAAAACCGGGCGACTTGGAAGGCGCTGAACAGACTGCGCTCTGGCACCACGAGATGCAGAGCCAACCTTAAGAAATGGGGCTACAAAGTGGAATCCACGACATGTGAGTGTGGAGAAGAGCACACCACAGACCACCTGCTGCAATGCAACCTGAGCCCTGCCACATGCACAATGGAGGACCTTCTTGCAGCAACACCAGAGGCACTCCAAGTGGCCAGATACTGGTCAAAGGACATTTAATCAACTACCAAGCTTGCAAACTTTGTGTTTTGTCTGTTTGTTTGTTCGTTTTGTTAAAAATGTAATACAAATGTCTGGTTGCTCCTGACACAATAAATAAATCAGCTGACTCTCCCTTCAGTCTCAAGCGGGGGATAACAGTATTAGTAATGACAATAATAGTATTCATGACAATAGTCTCTCTCTCTGAAGGGACTCAATAATATAATAACAATAACAATATAATAATGTAATAATAACATTGACTCCCTCCATAGCTGAACTTCCCTTCACCCTCAAGATACTTAAATCCAAAACTGAGGCTTGACTTGAAACAAGAACCAGAGAACTCAGGCCTAGCTTCTTACTCAAACCCTACATTGCCTGAACTAACCCTTAGGTAAACAGCTTGATAATTAATCGGCACCCATAAAGTTATTTCTTTTCCTACGAATTTTCTCCCCAACTTTCCCGTGTAATCTCTCTGACCAGCACTGCTTATTTTCTGCTGTAATGTGTAAATGGAGGCTTTTGTTGATCTCTGTAGCTCCAGGTGTTTTTCCCTGGGAGCCTTCCATATCATTTAGCTCTTTGCCCGACTCCTTATCTAATGTTGCCGTTTCTGACTCCTCTGACTTGCCTTGAAGCCCTGCACTTCCTGAGTCAGGTTTTTCCCGGAGAGAACCATCATTTCCCTGACTTGAATCTTCATCACTTTGTGCCCCAGGAAGACCCACTGGAAATCCCACAGTCCCCTCTAAATCATCAGTAAACCCATCAGCCTTAGGCTGTACTACAACACATCCCTATATAACTGACCCTTCCTCCCTCCTTCTTTGGCCGCAGTTTTCGAAGCAAGGCCAGGCCTGGGCTCCTTTGCAACTGGCGGTCAGCTGGGACTGTGACCCGGAGGCCACTCGCGTCTGCGTTGACTACGGCTACAACAAAGCAGGGGCTCTGGCCATTCCTCCAGCCACCCTCACCAATGTCCAGGTGCTGCTGCCCATTGAGGAACCAGCCGCCAATGTCCGGCCACAGCCCAAGGCCACCTGGTGAGTTGGGATGGGAGGAGCAGTCTAGGAAGGGATGGATATAATCATGGTGATGACAATAATGACAACAAAGTGCCTGCCTGGAGGCAGTGTGCAGCACTCCCCAGTTGCAAAGGAATTGGGGGGGGGGGGAGAGAGGTCGTTAGCATTTGGCATTGGGGATGATGGGAGCTGCAATCCGTTGCTCCCCTTCTTTTGCAGGAATCCGGAGGAGAAGCGCTTGCAATGGCAGCTGGGGGACATGCATTCAGGTGAGGGGGGGCATGGTGGGGGGGCTTGGGGTCTGGTGTTTGGGCATGGCTCAACTGACCCCTTCCTCCTCCCTCCCTCTTGACTCCTTTGCAGGCTCAGGCCGGCTGACAGCCAGTTGGCAACCCCTGGAGGGCCCCAGCCGCCCGGTCCTGGTGGCTGCCCAGTTCTCCAGCGAGGGGGGCTGCATCTCGGGGGCTGGCGTGGAGCTGCTGGGCAGTGGGTTCCGGATGTCCCTAGTCAAGAAGCGCTTTGCCACCGGTGAGCAGCCGCCCGACTGTAACTCCCATCACCCTGCAGGAGGGAGGGGACGAGTAAGCCAGGGCACAAGGAGCTCAGATATTGGGACATTTCCTCTCCCCATCTGAGGCAGACTACATATCTCATCCTTATGCAGGGCATTGGGGGTTGTAGTCCCACCTATTGACGTGGTTGGGAAGCTGGGGCCAACTTATATATCTCTCTCGGCCTTTTCCATATCCAAGGCAGGTGACTACAACCCCCGTTGTCCTGCAAGAGGGATGGGAGTTGTAGTCCCACATGTCGAGGGCATCCCCATCGTACCATCCATTATTGTTACCACCACCTTCATCCATTCCTAGACTGCATCCTCCACCATTCCTTACCATCCATTATTATTATTAATATTATTGTTATTATTATTATTGGGACATTTCCTCTCTCAATCTGAGGCTGGACTACAAATCTCAATCTTATGCAGGAAAATGGGAATTGTAGTCCCACATGTTGAGGAGGACGTATTGAGAAGGTTAGCAAAAGTAACTAAGATATTATTATTATTATTATTATTATTATTACTATTATTATTGGTATATTTCCACTCTGAATCTGAGGCTGGTCTACAAACCACATCCATTTTTTAGGGTGATGGGAATTGTAGTCACGCCTATTGTGGAGGCTGGGAAGCCAGGACCGACATCTCTCTCTTGGTCTGCTCTATATTCAAGGCAGATGACTACAACTCCCATTGCCCTGCAAGAGGGATGGGAATTGTAGTCCCACGTGTCGAGGAGGTTGGGAAGCCAGAGCAAAAATAACTCAGATATTATTATTATTATTATTATTATTATTATTATTGGGACATTTCCACTGCGGCCAGACTACAAATAATATCCATTTTTGCAGGACGATAGGAATTGTAGTGACACCTATTGAGGAGATTAGGAAGTCAGAACAAAAGTAACTCTGATATTACTATTGGGACATTTCAACCTAATGCCAGACTATGATATTGGTGCATTTACTCTCTTCATCTTAGGCTGGACTACAAATCCCATCCATTATGAAGGATTGTGGGAGTTGTAGCTCCACGTCGAGGGGTTAGAAAGTCCGAGCAAAAGTTACTGAGATAATGGGATATTTCCTCTCTTAATTTGAGGCTGGACTACAAATTCCACCCATTATGCAGGGCAATGGGATTCGTAGTCCCACACATTGAGGAGGTTGGGAAGCCAGGGCAAATACAGCTCAGATAGTAGACCAGACTACAATTCCCAATTGAAGACCAGACCACAATTCCCATCACCTTGCAGAATAATGAGAATTGTAGTCCCGCATGTTGGGAATGGAAGGCAGTGAGTTAGAGAAACGTGGCTTGAAATCACGGAACATACTCTACAATTTCTACGATTTCCAGATTATATTTATCTTTCTATCTCAATAAGACATTTATTTGTATTATTTATTCCTAATCTTATTTATTTTTCCACCAGGCATTTATCTCGCCGGCTTGTGAACAGTGGTGACCCTTCTGACTGTTTATTTTAGCATTATCGTTATTATTATTTTTGAGAGAATATATTTGTGTGTTTTTAAATTATTATTATTATCATAGGATTCGGTTTTAAAAACACTGGATTTTGTGACACTGGAAGGCCCGGATGCAAAGTTTCGTTTTATTTTGTTTTTTGAGAAGAAAAGATAACTGACTGGCTTCTCCGTCAATCATCCTGTTGTTACTCTTTTAATATCAAAAGAATATATTGTTTTTTTCTAATTAAAAAAATGCATCAGTTTGTAGGTTCGGGCCATCATTGGCTTTAATAAAAATGGAGCAAAAAGTGCAATGTTTTTTACCCATTTGAACACAAGCTGCCGTGGACGATGGGCACTGTGATTCAATGGCATTTGGGGGCCTTTCTGTTGCTCCCTGTTGGGTGTATTTCTCATATTATATTTCATTCTTTGCATTATTGATATTATATTTTCATACTTTCATTAAATGTATTTTCTTATTTTTCATTATATGGTTTTGTGAATTTGCTATATTTTATTTCAATATTTCTATTACTATTTGATCATTTTGTGTCTTTCTTGTATTTTATTTCATTGTTTGTATTATTTTAGGGTTTTGTTATATTTTATTTCAATACTTTTATCATTAAGTTCTTTCATTATAGTTTATTATTATTATTATTATTATTATTGTAGTTTTGTTGTTGTTTGATACACAACAAGATTAGTACACAGCAAACAAGTGTCTAGGACTCTGCGATGTATCGGCGAATAATGTGTGCAGAACCAAGCAGGCTGTGCCAAGTGTGAAGGTACTGGAAATGAGTGAAGGTACTGCAAGTCCCATCGTCCATGGCAAGTGTGGTCCAGATCCATCATTGGTTGGCTTCACTGTGCTCTCTGGATGTAGGTGAACTACAACTCCTATAAATCAAGGTCAATTCCCCCCAAACCTGATCATGGGGGTTGTGTGTGCCAAATGTGATCCAGGCTCATGGTCAGTGGGGGTCCCATCCTATAACTTCCATCCCGTTGAGTCAGTCCCCCAAACCCCTGTTCATTTGCTGATCAATTCCTTATTATTGTGTGCCATAGAAAATGGTAGGAAAGGGTTAAGGGTGAGTCAGTGGGTGAGGTCATGCAAACTCCACACCAATGGAGAGAGTAAGGAGCTTGCTGTAACCTGCAATGTACCTTGGAGGGAGGACCATTGGTGCCTCCTGAAAGGTGGAAATGTGAGTCTGTGTGTGTCAGTGGACACTTCCGCCACATACACCTTTTTTTTTGCTTTTATTATGTGTATAGATTATTGGGACCAGATGGCCCTGAGGGGGTTCTCTTCCTCCTTCACGCCCTTGTCCTCCTCCTCCTCCTTATTATTATTATTATTATTATTATTATTATTAGATACACAACAAGATTAGTCCACAGCAAACACTTGGCTGGCTGTTGTATTGGATCACACGTTGGCCACTTCCCAAGTGCCTAGGATTGTGTGATGTATCGGCGAATAATGCAGGCAGATACGAGTCAGGTGGCCTTTTGCAGCTGGCAGGTGGCGGTTTTATCAGCACTGATTGTTTTTAAGTGCAGGCCAAGGTCTTGAGGCCCTGCACCCAGTGTGCCAATCCCTACTGGGACCTCCTTGACTGGCTTGTGCCAGAGTCTTTGCAGTTTGATCTTTAAGTCTTCATATCGTGTGAGCTTTTACAGTTGCTTCTCGTCCATTCTGCTGTCACTTGGGATTGCAACATCGACAATCCATACTTGTTCTTTATTCCCCTACGATCGTGAGGTGAGGAGTATTGTGCTTCAAAATTCTCTCAGCCTGAATTTGGAAGTCCCAGAGGAGTTCGATGTGTTCATTTTCTGTAACTTTGCATACGGTCTCTGATTGGCCAGCCTCTGATTGGCCTGCTGCAGTTTGGAGGAGGATGGACCATAGATGATGGGACTTCAAGTACCTTCACTCACTTCCTGAAAACAATGCAACCGTCATCCAATGACCAATAAACACCAAACTTGGCATATAGAACCGCCATTACCCACTTTCTCTAATAACCCAGGCAGCACCGGGTCCCCGAGCTAGTATACAATAAAAGTCAGTGTTTGCATATTCGTATGTATGTGTGTGGAGGTGTGGGTATGTGGCCGCTTTCTGATTGACTACCATCATCTCATCATCCATGATCCATCCTCCACCAATCTTCACCAGAGCATGAGGTGGGTTATGCGGGCTTTGTGTGCCAAGTTTGCTCCTGGTCTGTCTTTCGTGTGAGTTGCAGTGGTCTCAGGAAATGAGTGAAGGTCCTGCAAATGTCATCATCCGTGGTCCATTCTCCCCCAAACTGCACCAGGATGTAAAGTGGGGTCATGGGGGATGTGTGCCAACATAATAATAATAATAATAATAATAATAATAATAATAATAATACTTTATTTATACCCTGTTACCATCTCCCCATGGGACTCGGTGTGGCTTACATGAGGCCGAGCCCACAATACAAGCAATACAAGCAATACAAGCAATACAAGCAATAACAAATACAATACAAAGCAATTAAAATAAATACTTTGGTCCACTGTGACCTGCATGGGTGAAGGACCTGGATCAAACTTGGCACACATAACCCCCATGACTCCATTTACATCCTGGTGTTGTTTGGGGGAGGACAGACAATGGATTATGGGATGTGTGGTACTTTCAAAACCTTCCGTTCCCACAAGCCACTGTGGCCCCCAACAAAGACGGATAAAGACCAAACTTAGCACAGAGAGCCCCCATTACCCACTCTACATCCTGGTGCAATTTGGAGGAGGGTGGATCATGGATGATGTGACTTGAAGTACCACCACTCACTTCCTGAGACCACAGCAACAATTACCAATAAAGACCAAACGTGGCACAGAGAGCTCCCATGACCAACTCAACATTCTGGTGCGGTTTGGGGGAAGACGGACTATGGATGATGGGACTTGAAATACCTCCACTCATTTCCCAAGACGGCTGTGACCCTCTTCCAATGACTGATCGATACCAAACTTGGCACACAGAGCCCCCATGACCCAGTCCACATCCTGGTGCAGTTTGGAGGAGAATGGACCATGGATGATGGGACTTGCAGTACCTTCACTAACTTCCTGAGACCACAACGACACTCATCCAATTACCAATAAAGACCAAACTTGGCACAGAGAGCCCCCATGGCCAACTCAACATTCTGGTGCAGTTTGGGGGAGGACAGACTACGGATGATTGGACTTGAAATACCTCCACTCATTTCCCAAGACTGCTGCGACCCTCTGATCAAAACCAAACTTGGCACACAGAGCCCCTAAGCAAGTATATATTAAAAGTCAATGGCCACTGCAATTTGCACGAGTGAAGGACCTGGGCCAAACTTGGCACACATAACCCCCATGACCCACCTTAGGTCCTGGTGTGGTTTGCGGGAGAATGGACCACGGATGATGGGATGTGCATTAGTTTCAATAACTTTGTTTACCACAGACCACTGTGACCCCCACCATTGAGGGATCAGGACCAAAGTATTTATTTTAATTGCTTTGTATTTTATTTGTTATTGCTTGTATTGTTGTATTGTGGGCGTAGCCTCATGTAAGCCGCACCGAGTCCCATGGGGAGATGGTAGCGGGGTATAAATAAAGTATTATTATTATTATTATTATTATTATTATTATTAAGTTGGCACACATCCCCCATGACCCCACTTTACATCCTGGTGCAGTTTGGGGGAGAATGGACCACGGATGATGACATTTGCAGGACCTTCACTCATTTCCTGAGACCACTGCAACTCACACGAAAGACAGACCAGGAGCAAACTTGGCACACAAAGCCCGCATAACCCACTTCATGCTTTGGTGAAGATTGGTGGAGGATGGATCATGGATGATGGGATTTGCAGTACCTTCACCCAATTATCTTCCCACAGAATACTGTGTACCCCACAAAAAACAGACATGAACCAAACTGGACATACTTTACATCCTGGTGCAGTTTTGGCGAGGACGGACAATGGAGGATGGGAAATGCAGTACGTTCACTCACTTCTTGAGACCAGTGCAACCCCAATAATGTCAGATCATGAGCAAACTTGGCACACAGAGCCCCTATGACCTACTCTAAATCCTGGTGTGGTTTGGGTGAAGATGGACCATGGATGATGAGACTACAGTACCTTCACTCACTTCCTGAGACCACTGCGACCCTCACCAATGACTGATCAAGAGCAAACTTGGCACACAGAGACCACATGACTCACTCTACCTCCTGATATGGGAGCTGTAGTTCTCCTGCACCCATTAAACCCAATTGAAATTGGATCTAGACTAAACTTGGAGCACAGACAAACAATTGCTTTCTCAAATAACCTGCCAGGTCCCCAAGGTAGTATATAATAAGTCAGTGTTTGTATATGTGCAGCGGAGCAGCAGTTTGGGTACATGGCAGCTTTCTGATTGGCTCCCACTTCCACAGGCCACTGTGACCCCTATGATTGACTTACTTACTTACTGTATTTGTATACCACCTTTCTCAGACTTTTGGCGACTCAAGGCAGTTTACAGGCAGCAAGTCAATACACATAATATCAAAATGCACATAAAAGCAGTAAACACAACATGAAACCACAACAGAAACAATAAGCAACAGCCAGGAGACATGTTTTTAAAGTCTCCTCCTCAGTCCCCTTTCTCCTCTTAGCTGGCTTGGGGGGGGGGGGGGAGAAGCAGCAGGATATCCTTCTTCTCCTCCTGAGGTGGCCAGCAGATGTAGTAAGCAACAGCCAGGAGACAGGTGTTTTTAAAGTCTCTTCCTCAGTCCCCTTTCTCCTCTTAGCTGGCTGGGGGGCGGGGAGCAGCAGGATATCCTCCTCCTCCTCCTGAAGTTTTTTTAAAGTCTCTTCCTCAGTCCCCTTTCTCCTCTTAGCTGGCAGGGGGGGGGGGGGAAACAGCAGGATTTCCTCCTTCTCCTGAGGTGGCCAGCAGATGTAGTAAGCAACAGCCAGGAGACATGTGTTTTTAAAGTCTCTTCCTAAGTCACCTTTATCCTCATAGCTGGCTTGGGAGGGGGAGAGTAGCAGCAGGATTTCCTCTTTCTCCTCCTGAGGTGGCAGGCAGATGTAGTAAGCGACAGCCAGGAGACAGGTGTTTTTAAAGTCTCTTCCTCAGTCCCCTTCCTCCTCTTAGCTGGCTTGGGGGGGGGGGGAGAAGCAGCAGGATTTCCTCCTTCTCCTCCTGAGGTGGCAGGCAGATGTAGTAAGCAACAGCCAGGAGACAGGTGTTTTTAAAGTCTCTTCCTCAGTCCCCTTTCTCCTCTTAGCTGGCTTGGGGGGGGGGGGGGAGAAGCTGTCAATGTAGATCTCAGCACAGCAAGGCAAAGAAACACATCTCCTTAGTCTAAAAAGCTAACTTATTAAACAATATTTACACTAGAAGCTAAGTAGAACAAAAATTAGCTTTCATCTCAAACGGCGGCTACATCGTTCAACAGACACGTTGTTATCTACAATTAGTCCACTCCTCCTTACATTCCACAGTGACATATGACGAACAACGTACCAAGCAGCAATGCAGCATCCAATACTCTGCACTAAGATTTATGACTCTCTAGGAATGCTGATCTCTCCATGATCCAGTTAATTCTTTCCACACAGGAATTATACTCGCAGCAAATGGCATTACATACTAAACACACAAACACTAACTTTGAAAACTACAATACACTATTTCAAAAACCATTAACAGAAGCAGCAGGATTTCCTCCTTCTCCTGAGGTGGCAGGCAGATGTACACCCACTGAACCAGCTGACATTGGATCTAGACTCAATTTGAAGCAAAGACAAGCAATGCAAATAACTTTCTCAAATAACCCGGGCACCGCCAGGTCCCCAAGCTAGTATATAATATCTATCACATCTATAGGAGTTCCTTTGTAGGCTTTTAAGCAGAGGATGAATGGCTATCTGTTGGGAGTGCTTTGATGGTGCTTTTCTTGCATGATGGCAGAAAGAAGGGGCTGGACTAGATGGCCTTTAGCAGTACCATCCAACTAGGATTCAATGAGGGAAGGCGCCTTGGATTCGCTTCTAACCAACAAAGCTCCATAGCCAATGATTCCCATTAGTCCTGCTGGGTCTTCTTCCTTTCCTGCTCCAGACACGATCAATTGTTTGATCGGAGGTTGAGACAAATATATTGATCCAGACCCTGCTTGTATGCCTCATTCTTTCCCCCAAGGAGCTGTCTGTCTCTCATTCAATGGCCAGCAGAAGGGAATGCCTAGGGTTCAAGAATGGAGTAGATGTATTTGAAGGCTTGGGTACTTCAAATAGCTTTGCCTTGGGGCTCTCTGGTCCTATCTCCTATTATTATTATTATTATTATTATTATTATTATTATTCTGACACAAAAACACAGTATGACACAGCAAACGAGATCTATATGCTGGATTTCCTATCACAAAATCACAAGTCGAACACTTCCCAAGTGTTTAGGACTATGTGATATATTTTTGAATGATGCGCACAGATCCAAGTAAGGTGGCCTTTTGCAGTTAATAGATCGCGATTTTGTAAATGTTTATTATTTCCAAAGGCCGGCTGAGATCTTTTGGCACGGCACCACCTGTCCTGGTTTATGCCAGAGCCTTTGTAGTTCGAACTTGAGGTCTTGATAACAACCGAGTTTTTCCTGTTGTTTTTCCTCAATGCGACTGTCACATGGAATGGCGACATCAATAATCCAAACTTTTTTTTCTTTTCCACAATTGTGATGTGTATTGTTCCAAAACTTTGTCAGTTTGGATTCAAAAGTCCCACAGTATTTTTGCGTGTTCATTTTCTACTATCTTTGCAGGTTTGTGATCCAGTTCTTTACTACTAGCAGGTGATACTTGTGACATAAGTTGCAATGAATCATTTTGGCCACAGAGTTGTGCCTCTGTTTGTAGTCTGTCTGTGCAATTTTCTTGCAGCAGCTGAGGATATGGTCCATGGTTTCATCAGCTTCCTTGTTCCTTTTGGGACATCAACTGATTTTTCAGTCCTGGCCTTAATGACATTGGCTGCAAGAATCAGGCCTTCTGTCTCCTTCTTCAGTGTACCATTCGTGAGCCATAACCAGGTCTTTTCCTTGTCAACTTTTCCTTCAATTTTGTCAAGGAACTGCCCACGCAATGCTTTGTTGTGCCAGCTATCAGCTCTGGTTTGTTGTGCAGTTTTCTTGTACTGATTCTTTGTCTGCTATGCTTTGAGAAGCTTCCAATTATTATTATTACTTTTATTTTGCTATTTTTATTTGTTCACCACCTTGAGCCACTATTATTATTATTATTATTATTATTATTATTATTATTATTATTATTATCATCCTGCTTTCATCACTCCATGGCCTCCTTTCTTTCTTTCTTTCTTTCTTTCTTTCTTTCTTTCTTTCTTTCTTCTTTTAATATTAAGCAGAGGCTGGGTGGCCATCTGTCAGGAAGGCTTTGATGATGCTTTTTCTGCCTGGAAAAAAGGAAGGGGTTGGGCTGTGTCCTTTGGGGGCCCCTCCCAACTCTCAGAGTCAAATAATAATAACTTTCCCAGGGGATGGCGGGCTTGACCCACAGGTTGAAGGTCAGTGCTCTTTTCCCCCTTTTTTTGTTTCAGATTCAAATGGGGGACCAAAGGGGTCAGGCTTCACTGGCTGCGGAATGGAAAGATCAGAGGTCAAGAGGCCGCTTTTGGGAAAGAAGAGTCAACATCTCGCCACTTCCTTTCCATCCATTCAGGCACCTCTCTGTCAATAGCAAGATCATTACTAATATTGTTAGCATCATTATAAAATATTAATATTATAATATTATATTATATAATGCTATTGCAATTATAGTATAAATAGCCATATTATTACTAATATATTATTATTATTATTATTATTATTATTATTATACAATATTATTAAGAGTAGCCCTTTGCTACTCTGTTGCTTAGTACGCATGCTCAGTGTGGAACACATCTTACCACGTTAAAACAGGGGACACAGCTGCCATGTTGGAAGACTATTACAGGCTCCACAACAAAGACCCATTTAGTGAGGAAACTCTTCAGGCGGGACAGAACCCTTTACATCTACCAAATTGGAGACAGCTCTCAATAAATGTAAAAACAGCAAAGCAGCTGGCCTGGATGATCTAGGGATGGAACAAATTGAGAACTTTGACCGAAAAACAAGGTGCTGGATGATTGGCAAGGGTCTCAGTGGTCTCAGGAAGTGAGCGAAGTTACTGCAAGACCCATCATCCATCTCCAAATTCTTCCAAATCGCACCAGGATGTAGAGTGGGTCATGCAGGTTCTCTGTGTGAATTGTGGTCCTGATCCATCATTGTTGGCAGTTAATAATGGTCTTAGGAAGGGAGTGCAGGTATTGCAAGTCCCATCGTCCATGGTGCATCCTCCTCCAAACCGCACTGTGTGTCATGGAGACTCAGTGTGCCAAGTTTGGTCTTTATTGCTAATTGGATGAGGGTTGAAGTGGTCTCAGGAATTGAGAAAAGGTACTGCAAGTTCCATAAGCCATGGTCCATCCCCGGCCAAACCACACCAGGGCATAAAGTGGGTCAAGAGAGGTCTATGTGCCAAATTTGGTCTAGATCAGTCATTGAATGAAGCTCACAGCGGTCTCAGAAAGTGAGTGATGGGATCCATCATCCATGGTCCATTCTCCTCCAAACTGCAGTAGGATGTAGAGTGAATGAAGGTACTGCAAATCCCTCAGGCCTTTTCCTTTTCTCTTCTTATTCACTTGAGCATGTTAGAATATATATTTTTTGTTTTGTCGTGTCAGGAGTGACTTGAGAAACTGCAAGTCGTTTCTGGTGTGAGAGAATTGGCCGTCTGCAAGGACACTGCCTAGGGGACGCCAGGATGTTTTGATCTTTTACCATCCTTGTGGGAGGCTTCTCTCATGTCCCCGCATGAGGAGCTGGAGCTGATAGAGGGAGCTCATCCGCCTCTCCCCGGATTCGAACCTGCGACCTGTCGGTCTTCAGTTTTGCTGGCACAGGAGTTTAACCCACTGCGCCACCGGGGGCTCTGGTGTTTATAGAATATTATTATATTCTAATAATTCGCCAGCAGAAGAGGCGTAGCCTACGCTCCGGGGGCGTGTCCTCTCCTGGTACAGGGGGACGTGGCGTGAAACTTGCTTTTACTTCTCTCCCATTGTGAGCCCGCCTTTCCTCTGTGTGAGGCAGAAAACGTTGGCGGGACCTCCCGGGTGTAGGCCTGAGGTAGACCTTTCCCCTCAGCTCCCAGTGTGCGACCTGCCTCAGTCAGTAGCGGAAGAGGCGCGCGCTGGGCTCTGTGGGCGTGGCCTAAAGTAGTTTGCGGCCTATCCTCCCCGCGTTAACGTCGGCGGAAGAGGCGCGTCCCACCCAGTGTGGCCTGAGGGAGACTTTTCCAGTGTGCGTCCCTCCGTGCCGAGAGCGGAAGGGGCGGGGCCTGGGCCCAGTGGGCGGGAGGAGGCGTGCGGAGGAGGCGTGTCCCGTCCTGAGGAGAAGTTTTCCCCTCAGCTCACAGTGTGCTCCCTCTATCACTCTGTCCGTAGCGGAAGAGGCGGGGCCTGGTCTCTGTGGGCGTGTCCTAGAGTAGTTGGGGCCCTATCCTCCCAGCGGAAGAGGCGCCTCCAGCCCCTGTGTGGGCGGGGCCTGCGGGAGAAGTTTTCACCTCAGCGCGCGGAGGAAGGAGGGAGGGAAGGAAGGAAGGAAGGAGGAGGAGGATGTCGGTGCCGGGGGCGCGCGCGTGGGGGCCGGCCAACGGGGAGGACAACGGCGGGTACCCGGCGGGGGGTGGACTCCCTGAGGAGGACGCGGCCTCGCCCTCTTCCCCGCCGCGGGGGGGCAGCGAGGCCGAGGAGGAGAAGGGCGGCCCGGCGGCGGACTGCGGCGTGTGCGGGGACAAGTCCAGCGGGAAGCACTACGGCGTCTTCACCTGCGAGGGATGCAAGAGCTTCTTCAAGCGCTCCATCCGCAGGAACCTCAGCTACACCTGCAGGTAGGCAGGCAGGCAGGCGGCAGGACCCTCGGTCGGGAGGGCTTCCCTCGCTCACAATCCTCATCAGAGGTTTAATAAGCATCGTATTGGAAATAATAATATAACAATAATACAGCTGAGGCTGGAGGGGTCTCTGTCGGGAGGGATCGCCTGGAATCATAATATCCAGAGTCGTAATCATCATGGTAGAGGTGAAGCTGGAGGATCAGCTGTCGAGAGGGCTTTCCTTGTGGTGCTCTCTCACCTGGAAGCATCACAATCATAATCCTCCTCATAGTCATAATAATCATAATATAGGAAATAATAATAATATAATAATAATAACAATAATACAGCTGAGGCTGGAGGGGTCTCTGTCGGGAGGGATCACCTGGAATCATAATAGCCAGAGTCGTAATCATCATGGTAGAGGTGAAGCTGGAGGATCAGCTGTCGGGAGGGCTTTCCTTGTGGTGCTCTCTCACTAGGAAGCATCACAATCATAATCCTTGTCATGGTCATAATAATCATAATATAGGATATAATAATAATAATAATAATATAATAATACAGCTGAGGCTGGAGGGGTCTCTGTCAGGAGGGATCACCTGGAATCATAATAGCCAAAGTCGTAATCATCATGGTAGAGGTGAAGCTGGAGGATCAGCTGTCGAGAGGGCTTTCCTTGTGGTGCTCTTTCACCTGGAAGCATCACAATTATAATCCTCCTCATAGTCATAATAATCATAATATAGGAAATAATAATAATAATATAATAATAATAACAATAATACAGCTGAGGCTGGAGGGGTCTCTGTCGGGAGGGATCACCTGGAATCATAATAGCCAGAGTCGTAATCATCATGGTAGAGGTGAAGCTGGAGGATCAGCTGTCGGGAGGGCTTTCCTTGTGGTGCTCTCTCACCTGGAAGCATCACAATCATAATCCTCCTCATAGTCATAATAATCATAATATAGGAAATAATAATAGTAATAATAATAATATAATAATATAGCTGAGGCTGGAAGGGTCTCTGTCGGGAGGGATCGCCTGGAATCATAATAGCCAGAGTCGTAATCATCATGGTAGAGGTGAAGCTGGAGGATCAGCTGTCGAGAGGGCTTTCCTTGTGGTGCTCTCTCACTAGGAAGCATCACAATCATAATCCTTGTCATGGTCATAATAATCATAATATAGGAAATAATAATAATAATAATAATAATATAATACAGCTGAGGCTGGAGGGGTCTCTGTCGGGAGTGATCACCAGAGTGTAATCATCATGGTAGAGGTGAAGCTGGAGGGTCATTGTCGGGAGGGCTTTCCTTGTGGTGCTCTCTCAGCTGGAAACATCACAATCATAATCCTCGTCGTAGTCATAATAATCATAATATAGTAAATAATAATAATAATAATAATAATAATAATAATAATAATAATGATAATAACAATAATACAGCTGAGGCTGGAGGGTTCTCTGTCGGGAGGGATCACCAGAGTCGTGATCATCGTGGTAGAGGTGAAGCTGGAGGATCAGCTGTTGAGAGGGCTTTCCTTGTGGTGCTCTCTCACTAGGAAGCATCACAATCATAATCCTTGTCATGGTCATAATAATCATAATATAGGAAATAATAATAATAATAATAATAATAATAATAATAATAATAATATCAATAACTAGCTAGCCAGGTAGAGCCAGAGAGGTCTCTTTCTGGGCAGGATCACCTGGCAATTCATACATCAGCTCAGAGTCGTAATCATAATGGTAGAGTGAAGGCTGGAGCGATCACCGCTGTATACTCGACAGAGGGCCCCCATTTCCCTTGTGAGTAGCTCTGCACCTGGAAGCCATCACAACTCATACTACCTACCTCATAGTCTAATAATAAACATAATATAGCGAAATAACTTATATATATAATAATCAACATCACACCCAAACAATACAGCCTGAGGCCTGGAGGGTCTTGTCGGGACAGGATCACTACGCCGAATAACATAAAATTAGCCTAGCAGTCTGTAATCACAATAGGTAGAGGTCTCTCTCAGAGGATCAGCTGTGGGAGCCGAGGCTTTTCCTTCGCTGCTCCTCATCACCGGAAGCATCACAATCAACTAATCCTCCCTCATAGTCAAATAAAATAATAAATAGAAAATAATAGATAAAAACCATAATATTAATAATAATGAATACAGATGGAGGCGGCCTCCACTGGAGGGCGTCTTGTTGGGAACCGGTCAAACAGCAGTGCTATCATCCCAACCCCGCCGACGTAGAGCGAATGATACCTAGGAGGCGTCATTAGCGGGATGGGCATCTCTGAGTGGGCTCTACTCAGCTGCGAAACATCACAATAATAATCCTCAGCGTATGTTTATATAATATAATATAAAGGAAATAAATAAAGTAATATAATAAAATAACTTACAGCGAGAGACTGGGAAGCGGCGTCTCTGTCGGAGCGAGATCACAGAGTGCTAATATTTCATAAGGTAGAGCCCGCTGAAGCGGAGGGTCCCATTTTTTTTATTCTTTTATTTTGTTAGTTTTCTCGGGAGGCTTTACCATGTAGCCGTGCTACTCTCACCTGGAAGCATCACAGTCATAATCCTTGTCGTAGTCATAATAATCATAATATAGGAAATAATAATATAACAATAATACAGCTGAGGCTGGAGGGGTCTCTTTCGGGAGGGATCACCTGGAATCATAATAGCCAGAGTCGTAATCATGGTAGAGGTGAAGCTGGAGGATCAGCTGTCGGGTGGGTTTTCCTTGTGTCCTCTCACCTGGAATCATGATCATGATTGTTATGAGGCTGGTGGGCCCTCTGTTGGAAGGGATCGGGTGGTGCCCTCTCACCTGGAATCATAATACTCATAGTCATAATCATCATGATAGAGGTGAGGCTGGAGGGTCATTGTCGAGGGCTTTCTTTGTGGTGCTCTCTCACCTGGAAGCATCACAATCATAATCCTGGTCATAGTCATAATAATCATAATATAGGAAATAATAATAATAATAATAATAATAATAATAATATAACAATAATACAGCTGAGGCTGGAGGGGTCTCTGTCGGGAGGGATCACCAGAGTGTAATAATCATGGTAGAGGTGAAGCTGGAGGGTCATTGTCGGGAGGGCTTTCCTTGTGGTGCTCTCTCACCTGGAAGCATCACAATCATAATCCTCCTCATAGTCATAATAATCATAATATAGGAAATAATAATAATAATAATAATAATATAATAACAATAATACAGCTGAGGCTGGAGGGGTCTCTGTCGGGAGGGATCACCTGGAATCATAATAGCCAGAGTCATAATCATGGTAGAGGTGAAGCTGGAGGATCAGCTGTCAGGTGGGCTTTACTTGTGTCCTCTCACCTGGAATCATGATCATGATTGTTATGAGGCTGGTGGGCCCTCTGTTGGAAGGGATCGGGTGGTGCCCTCTCACCTGGAATCATAATACTCAGAGTCATAATCATCATGATAGAGGTGAGGCTGGAGGGTCATTGTCGGGAGGGCTTTCCTTGTGGTGCTCTCTCACCTGGAAGCATCACAATCATAATCCTCCTCATAGTCATAATAATCATAATATAGGAAATAATAATAATAATAATAATAATAATAATAATATAACAATAATACAGCTGAGGCTGGAGGGGTCTCTGTCGGGAGGGATCACCAGAGTGTAATCATCATGGTAGAGGTGAAGCTGGAGGATCAGCTGTCAGGAGGGCTTTCCTTGTGGTGCTCTCTCACCTGGAAGCATCACAATCATAATCCCCCTCATAGTCATAATAATCATAATATAGGAAAGAATAATAATAATAATAATAATAATATAATAACAATAATACAGCTGAGGCTGGAGGGGTCTCTGTCGGGAGGGATCACCTGGAATCATAATAGCCAGAGTCATAATCATGGTAGAGGTGAAGCTGGAGGATCAGCTGTCAGGTGGGCTTTACTTGTGTCCTCTCACCTGGAATCATGATCATGATTGTTATGAGGCTGGTGGGCCCTCTGTTGGAAGGGATCGGGTGGTGCCCTCTCACCTGGAATCATAATACTCATAGTCATAATCATCATGATAGAGGTGAGGCTGGAGGGTCATTGTCGAGGGCTTTCTTTGTGGTGCTCTCTCACCTGGAAGCATCACAATCATAATCCTGGTCATAGTCATAATAATCATAATATAGGAAATAATAATAATAATAATAATAATAATAATAATAATAATATAACAATAATACAGCTGAGGCTGGAGGGGTCTCTGTCGGGAGGGATCACCTGGAATCATCATAGCCAGAGTCGTAATCATCATGGTAGAGGTGAACTGGAGGATTAGCTGTTGAGAGGGCTTTCCTTGTGGTGCTCTCTCACCTGGAAGCATCACAATCATAATCCTCGTCATAGTCATAATAATCATAATATAGGAAATAATAATAATAGTATAGTGTATTGTCGAAGGCTTTAATAGTATAACAATAATAGAGCTGAGGCTGGAGGGCCCTCTGTCAGGAGGACTTTCCTTGTGTCCTCTCACCTGGAATCATGATCATGATTGTTATGAGGCTGGTGGGCCCTCTGTTGGAAGGGATCGGGTGGTGCCCTCTCACCTGGAATCATAACACTCGCAGTCATAATCATCATGATAGAGGTGAGGCTGGAGGGTCATTGTCGGGAGGGCTTTACTTGTGGTGCTCCCTCACCTGGAAGCATCACAATCATAATCCTCGTCATAGTCATAATAATCATAATATTTATTTATTTATTTATTTACCTCATTTGTATACCGCTCTTCTCAGCCCTTAGGCGACTCAGAGCGGTTCACAGCAACAGTTTCAGTATACACAATACAAGATCATTGGACATTTAAAAGCAATAACATAACAAGTTAATTAAACAGTAAATATCAATACAACAATACATCAATATAACAAATCCATCAGATCTCATCAATAGAATCAGAATCCAGTCTCGTTATCCATTATTCCATGTTCCGCTAAT